TCGCAGCCAGACCCACCAAAGCCAGAGGGAGCTCGGGGAGTCTGGGAAGGGCTCATGTCCAGTGTCCACCCCACTGCGCACGAGCCAGGGGGTCCATCTTTGGGGTCCCACCCCACCTGCCAAGGAGGTGCCAGGGGTAGGACGTTCACCTTAGACTTTGGGGGACCTTCTAGGTTGCTGCACCCTAGCTAAGCGTCAGGATACAAAGGCTTGAACCCCGTGCCTGCCGGGAGGTGCCTCAGGGGTCGCGGGTGGAGGACAAGCCAGCCCGCACTTGCCGAGGAGGAAGGCACCTGCCCACGGAGCTCGCGGAGCCTCGTCACCTGCGGAAACCTGGGGCGCCAGCAGGGAGGGGCGGAGCGGCGGACGCCGGGGCAGGGAAATGTATTTGTGCGAGGGAGTCTTTTTGTAATGCCGCTGATAATGTTATCACGCTCGCCCACTGCACAAAACTGCAGCATCCACCCTGAAAAATGAGGACAAGCAAGTGCGCAGAGCCCCGTCGTGCAGCCCCTTCCCTACGCCGCCCTCCGTCCTGGGAAACCCCCCCCACACACACACACACATGCCGGCCGGTGAAACGGGATCGCCTGGCGCGCACTGATTTCCAAACCGCTCCTCCGCGCGCAGGGCGTCGCGAGCAGCTTCCGGTGTCGACGCGTTTGCCTTGCGAAATCTGTTCTCGCCAACTTTTTTAGTAAACATATAGATAGTTAGATAGAGAGACACGCACACAAATTCAAGTCTCCTTCGAGACAGCAGAGAGCGCGAAGCCCAGCCCTCCTCCTTGCGCCCCACCCCCCCGGGGAAACCGCAGCCCCCAAGGGTGCGGCGGGCTTGCGGCGGGTTTGCTCCCCAGGCACCCGCAGACTCATGCTGTGCTTCTCCCAGGACCACACGCTGTCGGGGAGCAGCGCCAGGCCCCCTGCGTCTGGGTCAGCCCTTAGGAAGCGCGCGGTGCCCTTCCCACAGCCACACGGCCTCTGTCCCGCCGCCGCCGCATCCGCCGCTGCCGCATCCCCCGTCCCGCAGCCAGTCTCCTCGCGCCGGTTTCCGGTGGTTCCAGTTCCCCCCACCCCAGGGCCCGTGGGCTTCAGGAGACAGCCCTGTAGCGGGTCAGTCTGGGTGCTCGCCCAGGACTATTTCTTTGCCTCGCATTCCTAGGAACGGAGTGGAGGGTGTGGGGTGAGCACGTGGGGACGATTTCCGTACTTGGGCTGGGCTTCGAGGGTCCAGGGGAGGGGAGAGGGCATTTTAGGTGGAGGGAGCGCCATGGGCAAAGGCGCGGGGGCGAGAAATGGCATCGAGAATTCCCTAAAGGCCTTTCGGGGTAAAACAGGAAAGACGCTGCTGGCCCAGAGTCCCAGGGAGGTGGGGCGTTTGGTCTTGATGTTTTTCTGCGTCCTCCCCTCCACAGGGGCAGTGGAGGGCTCCCCCCCCAGTCCCCCCCTCCCAGCCTCAGCAGGGAGCTGGGAGCAGCTGGCTGACATCAGGTGCTGCGGCCACCCCTGATGGGGACTCTGAGCTAGCCTCCAACGCCCGGTGCCCGCTGGGTTCCCCAGGCCCCACGGGGCCTCCGCTGGGGTCTCCCGGGCTCTGTCCCTGGTCTGGCAAGGAGTCAGTGGCTCCGGTGACTTCCGGAGACTCCTCTGGGTGCCGAGTGTCTTCTGTCGCCCCAGCCCGTGCCCCACCGTGCCCCGCTGCGTGCGGTCACCGCAGCCTCGTACGCTTCTGGCCAGTCCAGATTCTTCGTCGTCCCGTGGGCGTGTCCCTTGTACCCCCTGCCACCGCTGCCACCCCTTATTTGTCCTGCCCCTTCTCTCTGGAGCAGCCTGCTCCCACACCGGCTGGGGGTCCGTGTAGGGCAGTGCGGGGCTGGCCAAGGCCAGGCGCTGGGACTTGAGTCTGTAGTGGGTGGTGGGGCGGAGCCGTGTTTGGCCTCTAGGGAACTTTCAGGATGGAACCTAATCTTCTAGATAGTCCAGAACCCTGGCCCTCCCACCCTGCCCTCTGTCCCAGCATCCCGGCCCCGCCTCCGCACCTCGCCCAGTCCACGGCTCCTTCTAGACCAGCGCTCTGCACTCTGGGCGGACGGGGACGGGCTGCGGCCACACACCAATGCCTGGGCCAGCCCTGGGAGATGCATTTCCATCCTCACGCAGAGACTTCCTCTGGGCGTCTCCCAGTCTGTGTCTCCGGGCCCCCCGGTCCTGGGGCTGGTGGGACCCGGCTGCCCTGCTGGGGTGTGCCCTGCTCTGGGGTGGGGGTTGTTACGTGCCCCCCCATGCAGGAGAGCACAGAGCACAGGGCCTGGGGGAGTAGCCTGGAGCTCCCACCGTGGACAGGACATTTGACCCGACAATTCATTCAGATATTGCATTCAGCCCCCAGATGTGGCCGGCTTGTTTAAACGGTGAAGTGTTGATTTTACTGCTGGGCGAGCCGATGCTCCAGCTGGGTCTCCAGCACCACCCTGAGGTCTCACTGCCCCGTGCAACAGTCCCCCCCGCCTCACCGTGCAACTTCGGTGTCCAGTCTCACCCTATTCGATGCAAACAGCGTCCCCTGCGTTATGCCGTCCATTTGCGCCCTGGTGGAAAGGCCACCAGACAGGGGTCAGCAAACCTGGGTTCTGCGCTAGCAGGCGGTCCTACTTGGACCGCTGCTTCCCCGCGCCGGGCCTCGGCGCCCTGGTGAGGCAAAGGGAAACCTCGTCCCCTCGAGGGGCTGGACACCATCCCCCCGTTCACACACGGCGATGCCGACGGCGCAGACTCAGACGGAGAGGAGGTGGGGGCGTCGTGAGAAGCAGGGAATAGGGCGAGTGAACCCCCTCCATCCCCAGCCGTGAAGGGCACCCCACGGCACCTCCTGGGCGAGGCCCCCATCCCAGGGTGACGAGCAGGCCCCTGACCCTGAAGGAGGGACAGGCCTTGCTCAGGCAGCCCCATTCCCGCTGCCCGAGCCCATCTGGGCCCTTCCTCCAGGGGTCACAGCTGTGCAGGTGAAGCCCTCCTTCCTGGGGGTGGGGACGGGGCCAGGGCAGCGGAGCAGAGGGGACTCCGAGCAGCCCCCGGCCCCAGCCCCAGCGACCGCCTGCGGTGCGAGGGGCAGAGGAGAAGAGAGGGAGAGGCAGATGTCATGGAGCCCCCGTGCCTGTGCCCACACGGGCCCCTTTCTCTGCCGAGTGCAAGTGGGAGTCCAGCCCGAAGCACGCCGAGGCTGCACCCATTCCTGCACCCTTGGGAGCCCTCGGTGGAGGGGCCCGCAAGCTGAACCCTGCTTTCCCTGAACCTCAGCAGGCGGAGAAAGGCGCATTGTGCGGCCCGCGCCCCGCCCTGCCGCAGAAGTGGCTGAAATCCCGGTGTCAGTGTGGTTTTGTTTAGCAAACAGGGAACATGCAAAGCAGCTTCCCTGTGTGTGTGTGTGTGTGTGTGTGTGTGTGTGTGTCCGGCACCCGCCCCCCCCCCTTACACTTCCCCAGACCCAGAAGGTGCAGGGCGAGGCCCCTCACCCCGGGTCAGGAGTCATTCCAGGCCGGCCCACTGTGTGGCTTTGGGCAGGTCCTTTCCCGGTCTGGCCTCTGTGGACAGAGGAGGCGGGAGCGGCTGGTCTCCAGGGCAGAGTCGGCTCTGGGGTGCTGGCTGTTGGGGGCCCTCTTCCTGCAACTTCAAGGGCCAGGCCTGCGGTGTGTGAACTGGTGGGAGCTCACTGAGGGGCCAGACCCTCTTCCCCGGCAAATCCTGAGCCCCGCCCCCACCCACCCTCCACACCCTGGACAGGTTTGCGCAGGGGAGCCCTGGCTCAGGTAGACAGGGAGAGCCTTGGGAATGCAATAGGCCAGGGACCCTGTTCCCCATGAGGCCTTGGAACCCCAGCAGAGGCGAGGACCAGAGGAGACGCTCGCAGGTGTCCTAGGGGGGACAGACGAATGGGGACCTGGAATCAGGTATCCTGGTCCCAGCGCCACACTCGCTGGCTGTGTGACCTTGAGCACGCTGGCCGACCTCTCTGAGCCTCAGGTGCCCCCTCTGTAAAATGGGAGAGGGACGCCTCTCTGCACAGGTTGGAGGCAGTGTGTGGAACCCTGCACCCGGCTAGCACAGGAGAGCCGCCCCGGAGACGGCCCGCCCAGGCTCAGGGCCCCGGGGCGGGAGCAGGCCCTGTACTCGCTGTGGGCGGGTCCCTGCTCACCCCGGAGCCCTCCCAGAGAGAGACCTGCGGGGCGGGTGGTCACGCCCACCGTTTTATTACGGAGGAGGAGCTCAACCCCCAGTCTCACAGTCAGCGAGGGGGCACCAGGCCTCCCTCAGTCACACCTGCTGAGTCCCTTGTGCCAGACGGACTGACACTGCCCGGTCCCAGGGCCGGGACGCAGGGCGCCGGGGCCGTCTCGGGGACCGTCCGTCGCTCGGCCAACCACAGCGACGTCGGTGTGAGGACCCCAGTGCGGGAAGCTGACCCTGGGTCAGCCAGGGGGGCTCCACGCGATCACGGGGTCCTCCCAAGAGGGCGGCAGGGAGGTGAAGGCAGAACAGAGGGGACGCAGGGACAGCTCGGAGGGTGGAGGAAGCGGCCACAAGCCGAGCAACTCGGCAGCCTCTGGGGTCAGAGGAGGAACCGGTGTTCCCGGGGCCTCCAGGGGCAACGCGCCCTCTGACACCTTGAGCTCTGCCCTGTGGGACTCCTGGTGGGTTTCTGGACCTCCGGGACTGTGAGAGGAGAAACTTGTGTGTGCGAAGCCCCGAGCACAGCCCCCGCCGCCCGGACCGGGCCCTGCCTGGTGGGTGGGCCTGCCACGCCGCGGCCGGTGCTTCTGGGCCAGTCCCGCTGCTCCGTTCGGGCTGGGCGCCCCTCTCCCAGCCTGTCCCAGGAGACCGCCTGGCTGTCTCTGCTCTTCAAAGCCCCTCACCGCTCCTCCCCAAAGCCTCCTACGCTGTCTTGCACCCAGTAGGCGCTTAATAAACGCTGGTCCAATGTAAATAAATCTGTGTCTTTATTTCCATCTATAGCAGTTGAGGGGAACAGACATTTGACAACAGTAACTGCCGGCTCCTGCGGCCCTTGGGTCTGATGGCGGAACTGGACCCCCTGCCCCGGGGCCAGCCGAGTGCCGGTCGGAAGTGGGGGGCAGCCGGCAGGTTTGGCTGAAGCAGAGGGGTGCTCGGCACCCACCCTGGGGCAGGAGGCGGTTCTGATCTGACCATCCGGCAGCCCGAGAGAGGCCCCCTAAAACCAGGGGGCCGGATGCCAGCATGGTGGGCAGAAGGCACTGGGGGGTTCCAGCTTCTCCGTGGGTCCCCGCTCTGGTCTGTTCAGGGCATCCCTGCCCACGTGGGGCTACTCTGGCCTCCCCGGCTTTGCCCTGTAGAAGGCACCCAAGTTTTTACATCTTCAGCTCAGCTCCCACTCTGCACGGCAGGAGCACTATTGTTCCAGAGAGGGAAAGCAATTTGTCCAAAGTCACACAGCAATTTGGTGAGTCTGAAAACAAGCTGGACGATCCCCATCAAGTGCTGCTTCCAGGAGACGGGGGATCTGGGTGCGTGAGGCTGGCGTCCCTCCCGGCGCCAGGACCTCGGGCTGGGCGGGCCAGGGCTGGGCGGGCCAGGGCTGGGCACGGGCGCCGCCACCGCCTCACTTGAGGTTGTGTTGGCTCTCGCGGTGCCGCCGCAGGTCCACCTTGCGCTGGAAGCCCTTGGTGCACAGCTCGCAGCTGAAGGGCTTGAAGCCCGTGTGCTTGCGGCTGTGGGTGATGAGGTTGGAGCTCTGGCTGAAGGCCTTCCCACACACCTGGCACTTGTGCGGCTTCTCGCCTGCGGGGCAGCAGAGACTGGGTCAAGGCCTCGCGCGCTGGGCCTGCCGCCCCGACGCCCTGCGGAGGTTCTCCAGAACGTTCTTGCTTTATCTCACTATCAATCCACACGGACTCCGACACCCACGCCCCCCGCTGGACTGGACCCGGGGCAGGGCGGGGCAGGGACCGGGTCCATCCGGGTTGTCAACCTAGGATGGCTCCGGGCTCAAAACAGGCTCGCAGGTAGCAGCCGGGGAGTGAATGAGTGAACGAGTGAATGAGTGAATGAGTGGAGGAAGGAATGAGTGAAAAATCCCCCTGCTAGCCTCACTCCTGCCCGGAGACCTGCACTGCCAACTTTGGCTGTTTCCTGCCGGTGTTTCCTCTAGGTATCAGGTGAGCTTAAGGAGCACACCGCATCTAGCCCTCCCGGTGGAGGGGACCCCCGCCCCCCCGCACATAACTCGACCCCACTGTCCTGAAGACCCTGGTCCTGCTGACAGTGAGAGGTGGGGGCATGCGGGGGCTCTGCCAGGCCGGGCGGGGTGCCGAGCGGGGTGCCGCGCGGGGTGCCGCGAGGGGCCGGCGGCCTCACCGGTGTGAATGTAGGTGTGCTTCTTCATGTCCGACTTCTGGTGGAAGCGCTTGCCGCAGAACTGGCAGGGGTAGGGCCGCGTGTCCGAGTGGATGAGCAGGTGGGTGGACAGGGTGGACGAGCGCTTGAAGGCTTTGCCGCACATCCGGCACTCGAAGCTGCGCTCCTGCCGGAGGAAACGAGGCCCCGGGGGGTCAGGCGCAGGCGGGGCCTCGCGACCCAGGATGGCCAGGCTGGGTGCAGGACTGGACCTGGCCGGAATCCCCTGAGGAACAGGACACTCCGTTGGGGTGGCCTTGAGGACAGGACCCAGGGTCCCCCAATCCTTCTCCCCCACAAGGAGGGGCTGAGACTTGGGGCTTGAGTAGTCAGTCTCCTGTGGGATTTTTCCTGGTAACTTCCACAGCATCCCCAACAAAATACATGTTTGTTGACTGACTGGTGGACCGACCGATCTGGGAGTTTTTTTCGGGGATTCACATTCCACATCCCTGAACCCAGGGCGAGTTCCCCGGGGTGGGGACGGCCACGGGCTGCTCTGTGGTTTGGGTAAGGGCCTGAATACTCGAGGCCTGAGTCTGGCTTCTGCTTCTTACTAGGCACGTGACCGTGGCATGTTTTTCAGCCTCCCTGAGACTCAGTTTCCTCATCTGCCCATTGGAACAGTCACGGCCATGACCTCAAAGGGTCGTTGGGAGGACTGGGGTGCTCATGAACGCGAGCTCTCACGATCCTTTGCTGCTTCTCCCGCCTGAGACTTTCCTACCGACTCAGGTGTCAGTGCTCGGGGCTGCGGCGGGCGCTTTTCGAGGACGGAATGCTAAAGAAGGGTTTCCTGCCTCCGGCGGGGCTGCCTGCAGCGAGTGCACGGTCAAGCCCGACTCCAGGACGCCAAGGTGAGGACACAGGCCCTGACCACCCCCCCCGCCCCCGCCGCCCCGAGAGGCAGGACCGTTCCTGTCTCCAGGGACCCGCCCGGGCCAAGAGACTCCTCCGGCTTGGCCCATCGGGGGGTGAGGGGTGTTCGCAGTGGGTACGGGAGACTCGGAGCGGGGGAGGCAGGCAGTGAGGGGCCCCCAGGCTGTGGCCCCCCGGGCCTCCCGGGAGCGGCGCGGCGCGGGAGGGCAAGCGGGGGCGCTGGGCTCGGCCGGCGGCCCACCTGGGAGTGGACGTGCGTGTGCTGCTCCAGGCTCACCGCGTGGCCGAAGGTCTTGCCGCAGACCTCGCAGGCGAAGGGCCGGGTCCCGCTGTGGGAGCGCCGGGCGTGCACCTCCAGCCCGTGCGGGGTGGAGAAGACCTGGGGGCGGGGCAGCGCGTGAGGCCAGGGGGCTGTGGGGGAGGGGCCGGGCCCGGGTCCCAGGGCCGTGCCCCACCCCCCGCCGGCACCCCACTCCAGCCGTGGGGGGCGGCCTGCAGAAGGAGCCCTGGACCGCCGGTTCTGCCGGCCGGTGCTGCGTGTCCTGGGAAGGTCCCTTTCCCCGTGTGGCTGGGTTTCCTCTGAGTAAAACGGGGGCTGAGGGAATCTGGAAGCCCCCCTGGCCCCGCCTGGAGGCCTGGTGGCTAAGAACCAAAGTCGGCTGGAGCTGGCTTTGAACCTGGTTCTGAGGTCTGCTTGCTACGTGCTCTCGGGCAAGAGACTCAGCCCTGTGTCCGTGTCCACCTCCCGGGGACCGTGGGTGTCAGGAGCTCAGCCTGGGGCCGGGCACCGGGCCAGGGCTCCAGGAACGGTGACGGGGACGGTGTTGTGGATCCCCGACCTGCCTGCCCCCCAGGGGGGCCCAAGCTGCCCCGGAGCGCCCGCCCTGAAGCCCCACTGTGTGCCCGCCGGCGTGTGCCGCAGGCGGAGGCAGAGCGGACCTCGAACCCCCCGCCGCCGCTCACCTTGCTGCACTTGATGCAGTGGTACGTGTCCAGGCCCGGGGAGTAGCGGAGGCTGAAGTCCAAGGGCGGCTCGGCGCTGGGCACCAGGGGGCTGCCGTACAGGCTGACGGAGCGCTCCAGGAAGGCGGACTGCATGGTAGAGGGGGCCTGCCGGTAGCTGTGGCTGTAGGACGAGGCCAGGGCGTCCCAGGAGAAACTGGGTTTGTAGAACGGGGGTGAGTCGGAGTGGGGCGAGTCCCCGTCCTGGGGCTGGGGCGTCACGGCAGGGCCTTCTGTGGAGAGGGGGACACGTGCGTGGTGGTGACTCACTCAAACACGGAGCACCGACTCCCCGCCGTGCGCTGGGGCTGGTTCGGCGTGTGAGCCCCAGGCACTCGCTGTGGGGGAGCCGGGCTCTCTCAGCGATGACCCCCCCCAGAGTGCCCCCCACCACATGCCACTTCATCAGCCCGCCCAGCTGCTCCCTCTGACCCCCTTGTCGGTCCTTCCTGACCCCGAGACTCCAAGGGCCCCTGCTCCCAGGAGCCCCTCCCCTCCCCGGCCCTCCCTGGAATGGCGGGGGTGGGGGGTGCTGTCGGGCCAGGTACCTGGTGCCGGGACCATCCTGGTCAAGCTGTGGTCCAGCCCCAGCTCTGGCTCCCGTTTGAGGTCGGTCCAGTCCAGGCACGGGTTCGGTGACAGGGCGCTGAGGACGGGGTAGCTGCTCGGGGCCTGGTCCCTGATCCCTGTGGGGAGACAAGACCATCAGTGCCCCTGGCTGCAGCCCCCGGAAGGGAGTCAGGGGCAGGACCCTCCCCAGGAGGAGGGGGAGGCAGGCGCCTCTGGCTGCTCATACTCAGGGGCTGCGCCCAGACAGGGGAGCCCTAGATCAGACCCCGTTTGGGACCCACACGTCCTCGTCCGCAGCCACGGAGGGCCGGCCGCACCCTGAGCTCTCCTTGCCGCCAGGGCTCAGAGAGATCGGGACATTCAGTCATTCGTTTATTCATTCATTCAGCCAATGCGACATGGACTGAGTTCCTCCTGCCCCCAGACCCAGAAGGCGGGGCAGAGAGCCTCTGTAGCCCTATCACAAGGGGCAGGGAGCCGGGAGTGGGGTGCAGCGGGGGCAGGCCTGCGCGCCCCCCACTTACCCAGGCTCGGGTCAGGGGGCCAGACTGGTTCATCGTCCTGGACGCGGGGCTGGTGGTACGTGTGCGCCTTCTTGCTCTTCACCAGGAAGGAGCGTGGCATCGTCCACGTGCGCCCCCCCCACCTGCACGGGGAGAAGGGAGGACGCTGAGGGGGCGGCGCCCCGCTGTGTGGTAGGGCCGCCTCCTGAAGTCAGAACGCCCTGTCCTGGGCGGAACAGCGTCCACCCGAGACCTGTGACTGCGACCTCATGCAGAAGCACGGTCTTTGCAGGTGCGGCCGAGTTCAGGTGAGGTCACGCTGGACTGCGGGGGTGGCCCGAGGTCCCATACTAGTGTGAGAAGTGGGGGACTCGGGCACGCAGACAGACACACACAGGAGAATGCCCCCGGAGGGAGAGGGCAGAGGTTGGGGCGCAGCGGCTACAAGCCCACGGACGCCCAGGATTGCCGGGGGCTGCCAGCGGGAGGAGAGAGGCGGGCAGCCCGCTCCCTGAGCACCCGCAGAGGCCCGGCCCTGCCGCCACCTTGACTTTGGTTTCACAGACTTCAGACCCCGAGAGAATACCGTCCTGTCGTCTTAAGCCGCCTGGTCTGTGGCACCTGCCGTAGGGCAACTGTAAACCCCAACCTTCTCCCTGCTTCTGGGTAGGAAACGAACATGCCAACCTCTAGAAAGGCCCAGGACCAGCAGCCGCTGCCTGCGTGCCCGAGCCGCCCCAGGAGCAGCGGAGGAAGCGGGGGACTGCACAGGTGACACCCTGTGGGCTCACATCCAGGGAGACGCATTGCATCCTGGTCGGCCCGGCCTCCAACGGTCTCGGAGAGGGGCGGTCTGCACTCAGGGTGTGGAGTCAGAGGCTCCTGAGTCAGCATCCCAGCTCACCTGCTGTGCAGTTTGGAGCAGATACTTAACCTCTCTGGGCCTGTTCCCTTTTCTGTGAGACGGGCACCCAGGTCTCGAGGGGGAGCCCCCCCCGCCCCCGCCCTGGGGCTGCAGGGCAGATAGGGCCAAGCGCGGGAAGGGGGTGACGCCGCTCTGAGCGGCTGATAAGGCCCGGGCGGCGGGCTGCTCTCTGGGGGAGGAAGATTAGACAGGGCAGCCCGGAGTCCTGCCTGCAGAGCAGACCCGGAGAGTCAGTCACCCCGGGGATGGCCCTGGCCAGGCAGAAGAGGGCCCCCAGCTGTGCCCAGAGTCCCCGGCGGCCTCAGGAGTGTGGGCTGTGCCCCCCCCCCCGACCTGGGGCCAGCCCAGGCTGGGCCCTCCTTGCTGTGTGCCTCAGTGTACAGATCTGCTAAATGGGACCACAGCCAGGCTTCCCGGGATCGCCGGGGCAGGAAAGGACCCTTGTTTATCGCAGACAAGCGTGCGACGTGCCAGGCGTGGTGCCCAGGCTGCACGGCTGTGTGCTGTCCGGCCTCACCGCGTCCCGTGCCCAGGGCTGGCCCTCACGGGCACCCTCGGAGGGCGGGGGCCAGCCCCGAGGGAGCAGGGCCCCACCCCAGGCCCCTCCGCCGCGGGCTCTGAAACGAAGGGGTTGGGACTTGAAGGCCGCTGTCAGATTTTGACCTCACGGGGCTGCCCAGGCTGGCCGGGCAGCCCGCGGCGGCCTTATCTCCTGGGGACAGTCTCTTCCTGCCTCCTCCCCTCCACCCACCCAGGGCTCCCCGCAGCCCCCTTCCTTCCCCCTTCTGGCTCTGGGCTGCGGGGAGGAACGCACTGAAGCAGACCCTGAGCAGTCTGAGAGGAGACCCCTGCGCCCTGTGGGAGCCTCCCAAGGCCACGGTCAATCTCTCTTTCAAACGACTTTGCCTTTCACGCGGTGTTTCATAGTAACCCACCGGAGCTGAAGGCAGGCATTAAAGCCCGTGCACTTGAACCCCGGAGTTCCTCGCAGCCTCGACCCGCTGCGTCTCAGCTCTGCTGACCCTGACCCGAGAGCCGAGTTGCTATCACCCCATTTCGCAGAGGGAAACGGAGGCCGAGAGCCAGTCCCAGGGCCGAGCGAGGGGGAGCAGGCGGGACATGGTCACCCAGCCCCAGGCTACCAGGGAAACAGGACAGCATTTAAAGCTCCCTGGGTATCACCCAATCCGACACGCACGGGGCAAGGGGAGCCGTGATTGTCTTCCTGGGTCCCAGGGGTAAACTGAGGCCGGGAGAGGAGCGCGGCCGGCCAAGGCCTCTCGGCCAGGTCGGGCCCCTGCGTCCATGCTGCCAGCACTGCAGGCGGAGGCTGGTGGCTGGAATAACCCAATTGCCCTGATCTTTGCGTCTTTGCTGGAGCCCAGAGGCCCCACGTCAGGCCGGGAAGAGTTCCGATGAGAGGCAGGTGAGAAAACAGGTTTGCCGTGGGAAGCTCTGGCCTCCCCTCGGGCCTGGGGCCCGGGGAGGCGCCGGACAGACGAACAATGACGCTCTCAGATTCACGAGCTCGCCCTGCGGCCTGCTGCACCCAGAGAACTTCCCTTTGACCCCTGTTACCTGAGTTTAAAAAAAAAAAACCCAAAAACAGGAACCAGTCACCTATAGGGTAGTTAATTAACAACGACAACTACGCCGTTTTGATTCACAGGAACCCGTCCGGGAGACAGAGGTGTGAGCAGAGATTGTGAAAGACGGCTAAGATTTCTTCATAAAACAGAGACCTCGATGGTATCGGGCTCCGGAAAGAGACCCACTGTTAACATCTCTCAAAAAAACCCCAATCCTGATAGAGGGTCCCGGCCCTGAGTCAGAATCTCAGCCAAAACGTCGGAAGCCGGCCTGGTCGGGGCGGCGGGGGTGGGGGTGCCCGGCACCCCGACTCCCAGAAGGAGCTGGAGCCGCAGGCCCGGGATCCCCGGGTCTGATTCTGTGACCTCGTGCGGGACCGCACCGGCCGCCGACCTGGGGCTCGGTTTTCCTGTCTCTCGTGGGGACGGTTGGACTAAGATTTCTCCACTTCCCTCTCGCTCTCGCATCCCACGCGCCGGCCGGCCGGCCGTTGCTGCCGGGCAGCATGGCACGGACCCACCTCGTCTGAGAAGCGCATCCCTTGGGTTCCCCTTTTGGGAGGGTTGGGCAAGACGGCTGTTTCTCGGCGGCGGCGGCCGGAGAGGACCCTTTGGACTTCCTGGTGCGTGGAGGCGTGACTTCGGGGGAAACACAAACAAACAGAAGCCCTTTCCAGGTAGGAGGAGGGGGAAGTGGGCCCCAGCCACGGTAGGGGAGGAGGCGCTGTTTCCATCTGAAACGTGGAAGGCGTTCTCAGGTGTTTCTCCCTACGTTCAGAGAAGGCAACGCCAGAAGCGAGTGAAGCAGCCCCGGCTGGTGTGGCTCCGTGGACGGAGCGCCGGCCTGTGAACCGAAAGGTCGCCGGTTCGATTCCCAGTCAGGGCGCATGCCTGGGTTACACACCAGGTCCCCAGTAGGGGGCGTGTGAGAGGCAACGGATCCGTGCATCTCTTACGCACTGATATTTCTCTCCCTCTCTTTCTCCCTCCCTTCACCTCCGTCTAAAAGCAAGTAAATAAAATCTTTCTTTAAACAAGTGAGCGAATCGATTTCTGGGTGCACCCCCAAAGGAACTGAGAGCAGGGGCGCGAGCAGATACCGGCACACCCCAGTTCGCAGAGGCACACGCACGACAACCGGGGGGTGGAAGCGACCCCAGTGTCCGCCAGCGGATGGCGAATGAATGCGACACCTCCGTCCAGGCGAATGCTGCTCAGCCTGAGGAAGGAAGGGACTCCTGACACCGGCTACGGTGTGGGCGAAAGGGGAGGACAGTCTGCTGAGCAAAACAAGCACAATGATAGAGGATGTCGCAGGGGGACAGAACTGCGGGTCTACTCATACGCGGTGTCTCCGGCAGGCGAGCCCACAGAGACCGGGAGGAGAACGGAGGTCTCCAGGGGCTGGGGGCGGGGCGCGGCGGGTTACTGTTTAATGCACAGAGTTTCAGTCTCGCCAGGTGGAAGCAGCTCTGTGCTCTGGGGGGGCGGGGGGGCAGCAGCGGCTGTGCGACCGTGTGGGTAGGCTTCGTGCCGCGGAGCCGCCCGTGTAAAACCGTCGGTTTCGTGTCAGGTCTGTTTTATCTCAATGAAAACAAAAGTGAGTGAGTGAGGCACGTCCTGAGCGTTTCTGAACGGGAGGCCGGGACAGCTCCCTCTGGTCTGAGCTCCTGGAGGACACATGGCCGAGAGCCAGCCTCTGGACTGAGGGAGAGAGGGGCGAGGCTTCCCGCTGTTTCTGGAAAGGGGAGAGAGGTTGGGTCCCAGGGACGTGATCAGGCTATCGTCCCGGCCGTCTGGCCCCAGAGCCGTAGGGAGGAGTCCTCGTGTTCTCCACTAAGCAGCCCCCATGACCCCCCCATCCTCCTAAAAGCCCCCAGAAACAGGTCTGCCCCGGTTTTGAGCGGCCCCACCCATCACAGTGAACCCCAGGAGCTTTCTGACGCTCTCCAAGAACGTTCCGTGGGGAAAGCAGCATGAGTCGGAGCTGGAAGGGACCTCCCTCACTCCCTCCTCTCACCCGCAGAGCCCCTGGGCGCCGGCTCTGAGGACAAGGGACCTGCCACTTCCCCGAGAGCGAAGACCTCTTCTCACAGCCTGCTGGGCGGCGCGCCAGGAGCCCAGCAGCGCGGGTGAGCTCAGCCGGCTTCTGCCCGGGACTGCCAATGAACCCTGTGCCCCCAGATCTCACAGAAGCCCTGGGCTGTTCCCCAAAGAAAAGTACAGAGGCACCTGCCCACCGCGACCTCGCGGACTGGCCCCCCCCACCCCGCCGCAAGCCCATGTCGTCAGAGCGCGCACCTCACCCCGGCTGCCCAGACTCCAACCTGGGTTTTTTTTCCCCCCTAAAAGGTAGAAGAGGCTGTGACCCCAGTTCCCCATCTACGGTCCGACTGCTCCTGGAGGCTGGGGGGAGGTGGAGAGGGCAGCCGCCCCGGTCCCCTCAGCAGGCTCGGTGGGAGGGCACCCCACGTAGCGTGGGGGAACTCGGGGGGCCGTGGGACTCCCTCCAGCGGTCTCTCCATCCCAGGCTGGCTTATACATGGAGAAGGGCTCCCAGTACCCAGGGGACTGGATGGTTTGTGCCCGACGGGGGACCCCAACTCAGGCCCTCAGCCTGTGTCACGCCACGCCACACGGTGCCCTGCCCGGGTCCTTGGGGCCGCTGGGGTGTCGGTGTGACACTGTGTGGGCAGGCGACCCCTGCCAGCGAAGACTGAGTTTTGGGAAGGGTGGTGGCGCTCCCGCGCCGGCTCCCAGCCGCCACTCATTGCCGCCTCTCCCCGGGCTCGGGGCGGGGGCGGAAGGCCAGGTCCCCCTGGGGAGATTCGGAGCCCACCTCACCCTGTCTGGAACGGCCGCGGGGACCAGGGCACCCGCCTGGAGGCCAGACCGGCAAACGGAGGCGCGGAGGCGGGGGCGCGCGGCCCTCCCTCCGCACTCACCTGTCCCGTCCGGTCCGGTCCCGGCGCCGCGGCGGGAAGCTCGCTGCTCCACCCCGTCCACTCGGTGACTCTCTGCACAAACAGATACTTCTCCTTTTTTTTCTTCTCTCGCTCTCACTGGTTTTTTTCCCTCCCCCTCCCGTTCCCCTCCCTGATTTTCAATCTGATTATTTGTCAAAATCTGGCGGCGAGGGGACAGCCAATAGCGAGCGAGCGGGGCTGTATTTGCTTATCAAAGCCTCCCAGGACCGGGCTCCCCACGCGCTGCGGACCCCGGGCTCCCTGCGGCCGGCCCCCGGGCGGCACTCGCGCTCCGGAAAAGTCTGAGTGGCGTCGGAGGCAAAGACAGCGACGGCTCAGTTACTACATTTTAGAGATTAGAGTTGAATGGAAACATTTACTGATTTTGTGTCGAGAACTTCTTTCGAGGTTTTTTTTTTCCCTTCTTTCTTTTTCCTTCCTTCCTCCCCTCCTCCCCTCCTGCGCCTTTTCTTCTCCCGCCCGTTCGACAGCCCCCCCCCCCCCCCGCAGGGAGGCACTCGGCTACAAAGCACTTGGCTACCGAGCAGTGGCAGACCCTCTTAGAGACACACCCTTCTGTCCTCGCAGAGGTCGCAGAGGTCGCCCTTGAGAACAAAAGTCAAATTCACGCCTCCCTAGACGGGACCCTGGACGGCGGCGGCGCGAAGGAACAGAGTCAGGTGCCTCAGGGAAGTCAGCCGGGCCGTGCTCGGGCGCCAGGGCCTGCGTGTGCTGCCACCTGGTGGCCACGGAGGAGACAGGGGAGGTCCGAGGGGCCCTCGTCCCCCGGCTCACCCGGCGGAAAGCGTGGATGGGACGTTTTATCCCATATGGGCACCGAGCCCCATTCCCTGATCGTCCCCCACCCCACTCCTTCGCCCCCTCGGCCCCCCAGCGGCGGACGGGATGAGTAATTTATTTCAGGAGGAAGTTTTGCATAAGACAGGGGCTCACACAACGGGCACTGTTAGGGTGATTTGCATGCCCTTCCAGCCCTGTGCCCAGAGGGAGATCGGGTTTCCCTCCCAAAGAAAACAAGTTTGGGGACGGGAAGCCCCGGCTGGAGGTGCGAGTCCAAGGTCCGGCTGGGGGAGAGGGGGTTTGGGGTGAGGTCCGTGCCGGCCTGGATGTCATCACCCAGCCCGAGTGATGTTGTGGGGGGTGGGGGGGGGGTGGGGGGGGGGTTGGGGGGCCGACCTCAGGCCGCTCATGGGGACCATCGCCCCAGCCCTGGGTCTCTCTTCTTGCTGGAGTGCAAACATCCAGAATATTCTTTGGATGTTGCACATTGCCAACAGTCCACTAAAACCAGTTGAAATTATGCAGAAAACTTAAAAAAATAATTCAAGGACACTGGGGGGAAAAATTCTCCCATCACTCGATGAGTCTGTGTCCTCACGTTCTCGCCACGTTATCCACACTCGTCCACCTCTCGCTGCTGTGAACCGCTTTCTCCCGGACATTGTTTTATTCAAGGGCCTCCCACATTCCCTGGGGCTTCTGTAAACAGAGTGAATGGGATGGGTTCACGGTTCACCTCGCCCGTCGCTTTCTCCAGGTGGGCATTCGGTTTCATCTAATCGGGACATTGAGTTTTGGGGTACTTTCTAGCGTGAAGCTATGACCTGGGACACGTACAGTTCAGCGGTTCTTCCCCCTTGAGAAACAAACTCAGGGGTCCCCTTCCCAGACCAGGACCCCAGCCTGGAGGCAGAGACAGGCCGTCCCTGGAGAAGCGTCCAGGCCTCCAGCCCCAGCCCTCCCGGCCCCTCCAGGGCTGCCTGTGGGGCCCGCACCACCATGGAGCACACAGCCCCCGAGTGAGGTGCAGTGATTGCATCTGCCCCGAGGGCTTGTCCGTTCAGCACCCCTGTGCCCGTTTGTTCATTCATTAATTCATTAGTTCATTACTTCATTCAGTTACTGCTGGCCCCTTGCCTATACCAGGTTCCTCCTTCCCCTCCCCACCCCCGCCTCCCTGTCTTAGCTCTGGCAGCCACAACAAAGTCCCATAGTCTGGGCAATGCAAACAACACTTATTCTCCCAGAGCCTGGGAAGTCCAAGATCAGGGTGCCAGCAGGCTCAGTTTCTCATGAGGACAAGCCTCCTGGCTCCCAGCCAGCCACCTTCTTGCTAGTCCCCACTCCTACGGCAGAGGGAGCGAGCGGCTGCCTCCCTCTCTCCTGCCATAAGGGCGCTAATCCCACTGTGGGGGCCCCACCCTTGTGAGCTCAGCCAAACCTAGTCACCCCAAGGCCCGGCCTCCAAATGCCATCAAACTGGAGGCAGGGCTTCAGTATGTGAATGGGGGTGGGGGAGGCACAGACACTCAGTCCACAAGGCTCCCCCAGCTAATACCTGTTTATTGAGGTACCAGACACCGGGCCCTCAAACAGCAGCCAGAGGAGCTGCTTCCTGGTCTGTAGGTGGGACAGAGTGCCCCAGAGGCACAAAAGGTACAGTTTGGGGTGGAACCGCTGCGGTGTAAACACAGCATGCAAAGGAGGGGAGGGGGGTTGGGCAGTGCCCATGAAGGAAGCAGCATCTGCGTCCACGTCAGGCTGAGGTCGCTGGGACAAGGACAGCAGGGGAGGAAGCCTAAAAGGACGGGCGCCAGGTACAGTCTGGGCGGCCGGGGGAGACCCAGGGAAGGAGAGGGGAGGAGGGGATGCTGGAGAGAGGAGCCCAGAAAAGAACAAGAAGTGGGGTGGAAGGGATGGTGTCCCCGTTCAAACAGCCTCAGTGACCCCCCTCTGCCTAACAGGACCGACATCTCCGCGCCAGAGCGTCGCACTCGGTGGTTTGCAGTGCCGGAGCTGTTTCAGGGTCCTCCCCCGGAAGCCAGCCGGTTGCAGAAACCTGACTGCACCAGTCTGATAACCACGGTGCAGTTAGTTCCCATGCCCCGCAGGTTTCAGCATCAGGCGTGGCTGGATCCAGACGCTCAAAGGATAGTGTCTGCGCCGCATTCACTTCTGCCTTGGCACGTGCTGTCCCCTCCGCCTGCACGGCCTAGCTCCCGGGTCTTCCCACAGGGTTCGGGTCTCTCACTGGCCAGGGCTGGTTGGCCCTCCTGCCAAAACCACACTCAGGGACGTGGAGAGGGGAGAAAGGGATGAGTTCCGGAGGAAAGAGCAGTTGCCATCCCAGAGAATAAGGCTGGAAAGGTGCTTGGGGCCCTAGCTCCTGCCTCCCACCTTCTGTCTTCTCATTGTCCCTTGAAGATGCTGGGTTCTGCCTGGGGGCCAAATCCCAGCTCCTGCCTTTTGTGTGTTTTTTTTTTTTGTTCCCCTGTCCAGGATGTTCTCTCTCTTCAGTCTCCTCCTTCACAGCCCAATCCAGCTCTCAGGAAGCTGCCCCAGGGAGCTTTTTCCCAGACTCCCCGCATCCCTGGGGTCACCTGTGGTCTAAAGGACTCACCTCCCCCAAGACAACCCTTGGATTCCAGTCTTGCCATGCCCATCACAGACACTCAGCTGCTTCTCAGCGAGACCAGCAGCTCCCCCAGGGCGGGCACGTTCTCTCTCAGCGGGGCACCGGCACCGACTGACCCGTACCAGGCTGGCCTGCAGGAACCTTGGTCAGGCTGAATAAATGGGACCCACTGCCAGCAAGGGCTGGCGGCGGGCAGGGTGTGGAGCCCTGCCCTCTGAGGACACATCTCAGGCACCTACAGGCGTGTTTCAGCAGCTCCGTGGGCGATGGGGGGTGCCTGTGCTGGGCTGGGGGAGCAGCAGGGTCCAGGAGCAGCCGGCATTAGCTGTGTGACCTTGGGCGTCTCCATGGCCTTGGCCGAGAATGGCCACAGAGTGAGGAAAGCAGCAAACACGAGCTGAGCCCATCTGCCCGGGGAATGCAAGGATGGACCGGGTGGGTCGTGCATTGGGGGTGAGCATGGGGGTGTATCCTGGGGCCAGCCCCCTCTACCTGCCTCTTGGTGCCAGAAAAGCCCCCCTGCTCTGTCCTGCTGTGACTCAGTTCTTTAGGGAGATTGCAGAGCTCTTTCCAAACCCAGCCTCCTTGCCAGGAGTTGCAGGCGGAGGTGGAGGGGGCCCCTGCTTGCAAATGCTGCCTGGTGCTGAGGGATGGGACCGGCCCGAGCGCTCCCTCCTCTCCCGATCCAGGTGCTCGCGCTCCGCCGGAGGACGCAATTCACTATGCCACCACGAGGTGGCGCTCCTGCCACCTTTTCCTCTGGCAAAAAGCTGCAAGCACAAAAGTGTTATCTGTCATCTATGCGGTGTCTCTAATTGCTGCTTAAATTACAAAAGTCATACACGATTGGAGGAGGAAGAAAATAGAATATACACTCTGTCCTGCGTGTATTTCGTTTTCCCCTCCCATGCCTCCCACCCTCCTCTCTCTCCCTCTTCCCCTGCCCCCTCCCTCCTCCTGCCTGTCTAGGTCTCCCTGTCATGTGCATACAATGTTTTTGAATTCAAACAAATATTTTTTTTAAAAAAGACTTTATTTATTTATTTTTAGAGGGGAAGGAAGGGAGAAAGAGAGGGAGAGAAATAAATCGTGGTTGCCTCTTGAGCGCCCCCTACTGGGGACCTGGCCGACAACCCAGGCATGTGCAATGCACGACCGGGAATCGAACCGGTGACCCTTTGCTTGGAGGGCCAGCACTCAACCCACTGAGCCGCACCCGCCGGGGCTGAATTCAAACAAATCTTTATTATTAAAAATAATCTTTATTGCCCCTCTGCTGCGGCATCCCACACAGTTGGACAAAATCTCCCTCAGTCTGTGAACGCAACCCTTCTGTCCTCCGGCCCCATGAGTTCCCTGAGGGGCACAGGCCACATCCTGGAGGAAGAACGTGGGGTGCGTTCACCTCACAAGGAGGTTGGTTGGCCTCAGAGGAGTGTGAAAGGAAAGAGGGAACTGGAGACAGCAGGTGGGGGGCAGGGGCACGTCTGGTCCTGCGTCCCAGTCCCTCGCCCCTGCCTGACGCCTCCCGGCCACCCCAGCAGGGGCGGTGAACAGGCGCCTGCGACCCCTGTCCAGGTCCAGGAGATGACAGGACAACCAGGAG